TCATTATGGAACAAAGGGTCATGTGTGCCTCCCAAGCAAAAGATTTTTTGCCACTGGGGTGGTATAGACTCTCCATTGAATGTCAGGGCTTTCCCTATCACCTCTTCTCACTCATAGCTTAAGGTCTCAGAATGTTATCTAATGAAAGATGGAAAATGGACCCACTTGGCCACAGGTCAGACGTCTTGTCTTGACTGCATTATTTTACTGATTGGGAAACTGAAGCCCAGAGAGGTAAAATAAACAACATATTCACATAGGGCAGATCTTAGCAAGTAAAACAAGATGTTTACCAAGAAGATGCTTTCTGTATGCCTTGTTAGTCATGGAATTTGCCAAATGCTTACTCTTAGCGACTGACTAGGCAAAAGAATTCCTAATTGGTGAGGGCTAAGTATCAGTGTTTTCCTTTTGCCCACGCTCCACACCCCTTTTCTGTAATGTTTCCTGACACATAGGTTTTACTGCCTTAGGAATCTTAACGGGACTTTCCTTCTTTCTGAGCTTTAAAGGATGTCAGCTGCAAGAAAGGGAGAATGGAGGTCAGGAGTCCCCTCCGCATCCTTCACTCCAAGACCTACAGATAATAGTGTTTTTAGGCAAATCCTTGAACCTCTCTCTGAGCTAGGTGAATCTTAACAATAGACTTGTGTTCTCAACAGTTGTTAAGAGTGTATCACCATTTACAAGTGGTTTTTAGATCTTCAAACAAACATAGATATGGACTAAAGCCTCATTAATTAAAGCCCTCTTATTCATAGGATACTTCAAAGAAATGTAATTTGATGATTTCCAACTAATACCAATATTCTAGATGAATCACTTTTGTTCTCTAGTTGTTCCATGTATCTCTGATGGCTATGCCTGCCTGCGTTATGTTTCCAGGATTCTTCTGCAACTCCCAGAACATTTAGTGAAAAACAATAATTTTATTATTATTAATTTATTATTATAACAAATAATATTTATTATTCACTTATACAGTAAATAATATTTATTAAGTGAATAGATCATAATAAGGAAATAGACATGGTAGGAATGATAGTTTAACATTCAGCAACTATTCATTTAGCACCTACTGTATGCAAAGTTCTGTGCTTTACCCCTTGGGGGATGATAGATAGGCACATCCCTGTCCCCATCTAAGTAAGAATATACAGCAAATGCAGTGACTACTGTAATGCAATTCCAGACAGAAGGATGCTACAGTGGAAAGAGCCAGGAATGCTCTGGACTTAGCTCCCACTCTTGACCCTTACTGACTATGAACATAAGTAGGGAAATAACCATTTATTAAGCACCTACTAAGTGTCAGGCACTGTGCTAAGCACTTTATCATTATTGTCTCATTTGATCCTCACAATAACCCTGGGAGGTAGGTGCAGTTATTATTCCTGTTTTGCAGTTGAGGAAGTTGAGGCAAACAGAGGTTAAGTAATTTACAGCAGGGTCACACAGCTAGTGTCTGAGGTGGATTTGAACTCAGTTCTTTCTGACTTCAGGCCCAGTGCTTTATTCATTTTTCCACCTTTTTCTAAGCAAAACACATAAACTCTTTGAGACAGTTTTTTCATCTACAACAATCCTTGTTCACTCCCTAAAAGGGAGAGATAAATCATTTCACCTAAGTCCTTTGTTAGTGAGTGTTCTGGGGCAATATCAGAGGGGTCCATGTGCCAAGCAAAGGATTTTTGCTATCATCCATTTGTGCTGGGACAATGTACAAGATAGTATAAATCTGTTGTACCTACCTACTGCACAGGGTTGGTGGGAGACGCAATTGAGAAAGTGTATCTGAAGTGCTTTGAAAAACCTTTAAGTAACATAAATGACAGCTACCATTGTTCTTTATGAAATGTACAAATGGAGGGCTGATCAGGGGCATGAAGAGGAAAATCTCATTTTTTAATAAGGACAGGAGAGATTATAGAAGGCATTTGAATCAGACCACAAAGAAGTCACAGTAGCCTTATATTGTATAGTAATGCCCCCTAGATCTGAAAGCTTTTGTAAAATAATAATAATAAATTGCTGAATGCAGAATGTGAAGGCACACTGAAAAAATGTTAAGATTATAGATCTCTTGATTTGCTCACATTTCTATGGAATGAAACACTAAAAATATCCCAAGGAAGATATCGTTTTGACATCTTAATTATTTCTAATTTCAAATAATTTAAATTTGTGGGCTTTTTATTTTTGTATAATTATTGTAATATGGATATAAAATTACTAGCTATCTGTAAAACAAAGTAAACTGATGTGCTCAAAGTCCTTGCTTAAGCTTTAAATATTATTAGTTAATTTATTCAGCAAGGATTTATTGAGCACTTTCTGTTTGCTGGGCCCTCTGCTAGGCACTGGTAATACAGATACAAAATAGAAACCTTTACTTATTTTTAATTTACTCCAACAAACATTTATTAAGGACCTACTATATGCCAGCCACTGTCTTAGGTCCTGAAGATACCAAGATAAAACGAAGCAATGTTTCCTTCCAGAACCTTCTTATATACATTTAAGTAAATATAAAATATAGGTGAAATCATTTCCTGGGTGAGGGCACAAGTCTAGTTTGAAGGTCAGTTTGTTAATAGCATAACAGGTGGTCAAGATGGCCCAATGAAAGGAGAGGGAAGAGTAGATGAGGAAAGCTGGAGGCATGGGACTGTCATGGAGAGACATGAGGAAACAGTGAAGGTCTGAATCAGTGAAGCTGGATGCCAATAGATTGTCCTGCCTTGCTTAATAGCAAAGGTGTTGTTGATTTTGTGATTGATCCATGAGAAAGAGTTGAAAAGAGAGGGTAAAATACGTGTGACAGCTGGGAAAATGTCTAGTCCTGGTTCTGCCTGATGGGAAAAGTGGAGTCTGTGGAGGGCTAGATAGAGGGGGTAAGGTATTTTTGAGGTCCTCACCCTTTACTAGATTATTCTTCAGGCAAGTAGGGAACATGTACACAGATGATTTTCTACATACACATTATGTAGAAAATATAGGGATATAGATAGGGACTATACTCATCATTTCATTGGTATGTAGAATCAATCAAACATTTATTAAGTGCCAGCTCTATACCAGGTGCTGAGCTAAGCACTGGGGATAGATTAAAAAAAAGGCAAGGGACAGTTCCTGCCCTCAAGGAGCTTACAATCCAATGAGAAAACTGCCTCCACTAATGTAAGTTGGCACCTTCTTGTTAACTCACAACTTAGAGTTGCCTCATGATGCTGAATGTCTGTGATTTGCCCACAGACAGTATTTGCCAGAGTCAGAAACTGAACCAAGGTCTTCCTGTCTTTGAGGCCAGTTCTCCACCCACAATGCCATGCTGCATTCTATACAAAATATCTAAAGAATAAATAAAAAACAATTTCTGGGTGAACAGCATTAACTGTAGGGGAGGGTGGAAGATCTGGAAAGACCTCATGCAAAAGGTATCACCTGAGCTTTGAAAGAAGCTTGTGATTCTAAGGGGTAGAGTTGAGGAGGGGAGCAGCTGAGTGAGACATGGGGAACTTGGGCTGGGGAGATGAGAATGAAGTTACAGAAGATTGAGGGACTTGGCAAAAAAAAAAAAAAACACCTCAACTACTGGATGCAAGGGTACATGGGAAAGTGATGATGTAAAGCAGAGTCTAGCCACAATGATGCCAAGGTCAGAGTGGAACCAGCTGTAATGGAAGACAGATTTGATACTGTGCCATTAGCTATTGGCATACCAATCCTCTTATCCTTTTGCCTAGTGACAGGAATTGACCTTAGAGTGTGGGATAAGGCTGAGTCCACAGGAGTGGGCCAAATCAGTGCAGCTGCCTGAATGAGATGGATTGATGGTAGGCAGGGAGTGAGCACAAATCATAATAGCCCCTTGTATTTTTTCCTACATATAAATAAAAAGCATAATCTTCTCTTGATATGCTGATTTTTTCAAGAGCTGGATTTTAGTAGAAACATTCTAAGCGCTACAAAAACATAGGTACATCTATTGACCTGATTGGTGTCCAGCATTGTGCTAGGTATTGTAGGAGATACTAAAAAAAAAAGACAACATGTGGTCCTACACTGAAGGAGCTTAAATCTAATAGAGGGTGGGAACACACATGCACAAAACAACTGGAGGAAAATTCTAAAATATTGGTCTTGTTTAAACCAGCATAAGATTTCGTGGTCGACATCATATATGCCAGGCTGAAAGAATTCAGAATTCAGACCTAATGAGACCTAGACTTGGAAATGACTATGGACACCATCCAGTCCAACCCCTACATTTGAAATTTTAAGTCCCTATTTTATTTTTAAAATGTGTCATTGATTTCTTTTGCTTTTATATCCCAATTATTTCTTATACATCCCTCTCCTTCACATGTCTCAGTGGGAATTCCTTTACAAGAAAGAAAGGGGGAGGCAGTAAACAGTTCAACAAAAGCCAACCTACACATCAATCATGTCTGATCTATGCAGCATATATGACATTCTCCACCAATAATCACCCACTTTTCCAAAGAATAGAGGGAGATTCATTTCCTCCTCTCTTTTCCAGGGCAAAGATTGGGTCATTACAATTATATAATATTCAGTTTTGATTTTCTTATTCTTTTCATTTAAATTGTTGCAATCATGGAGTATATTTCCCTGGTTCTCCTTCCTTCATTCTGCATCAGGTCATATGAGTTTTTCAATGTTTCTCTGAATTCCTTGTGTATTTCGTTTCTCAACGCTCAGTAATGTCCCATTTGGGTCAGCTAAGTGGCGCAATGGGTAGAGTGCCCAGGCCTAGAGTCAGGAAGACTCATCTCTCTGAGTTCTAATCCGGCCTCAGACATTTTCTAGCTTTGTGAACTTGGCCTCAGTTTCTTTCTCTGAAAAATGATCTGGAGAAGGAAATGGCAAACCACTCCAGCATCTTTGCCAAGAAAACCCCAAATAGGGTCATGAAGAATCAAATACGACTGAAATAACTTGAATAACAACAATATTCCATTATCTTCATGTATCAGTTTATTTACAGATCCCTTCAAAACCCACATTTATAAATGAAGAAACCAGAGCCTAATGAAGGGATGCCACTTGCCCAAGACATCTTGTAGGTTGTAAGTATCAGGGTTTGAATTCATATATTTCCTGACCCCAAATGCTGGGGATTTTCCTCTGTTCCACAAAATTTGGGAGGTGGCAGGAAGGCCAGTGTTATTTTCATGAGGGTATCCTAAATCAGTAGAAGTTACAGACTTCATTCACTAAGTATATACTCAAAGCATGCCAATGGGAATTTGTAAGTGATTTAACAGTCCCTGACATGAAGGTTATTTAAATAGGATAAGAGCAAAAACTGGAACTCCAAAGAAAAGAATGATGTGACCGGTCAGGACAAAAACAAAACCCATCTCTGGTCTCTGCTTCATTAGGTCTGCAGCTTAATTAAAGATGTGTTCTTTCCATCTGCATAAATAATAGTCATGCATTTTGACTTTTTCAGTGTTCTCATGTCCCTCACATCCAAATTGGATTTTTTTTCTTTGTCTTAAGCTTCTCAAGCACCCCTTAAGCTTCGTTAATGAGGTCCGTTGTGGAATATCTGGTGCATTCCCATGTTGGGAATAAAAATCTCACCCCCCTGAAACTCTGACTGAGAAGTCAACAAAGTAAGTAGACTTTGGCATTGGCAGCAGGCTTTTTGGAAGCGTTCCTTATGTGTTTGGGTGTATTTAAATTTTGTTTTGAGCTTTTAAGTTTTGTATCCTGGTTGTACATTTGAGTGCTGGGGAAATAAGAGCAGATGGATAGAACAACCAGGCTTTCAGGGAATTATACACCCATTACATTAAGACACTTGCACAAACATAACAAGGTACATATGTCTATCTGAATGTGTGTTTTGTTTCATTATTTCTTGGAGACCAACTGGTTGGAATTTAAACAGAGATTGGTACTTAGCTGGAAGGCTGTGGATAAGAGCCTTTGCCTATGGAACTATGGGAGCTTGCATGGAGCTTACAACCTGACTGACCATCACTGGGAGAAATGTGCTGAATCTGACTAATGTTGGCTTGCTTCTTGTTGGGTCTAGACCTCTGATTTTATCCATTTGGGGAAACTACTAGGGTGGAAACTGCCTCTGCTAGTGCGTGTGTGGGCAACTCATCTATGATTATTGTCCTTGAGAGGCACCCTAGAGGTTAGGTGACTTACCCAGAATCACATAGCAAGTATGAAGTGAGAGACAAGACTTCAAGCCAGGCCTTCTTAATCCACATACCAGCCCTCTATCCCTTATGCCACAGTGCTTCCCCAGTGAGGATTACAGGGTTCATAGGAATGGAGTTGGAAGGGACCTCAGAGGTCATTCAGTTTAACTCTTTCATTTTACAGATGAAGAAACTGAGGCTGAGATAAGTTAAGTGACTTGCCTGAGGTCACTAAGGTAGCACTGAGATTCACTCAGATCCCTGAGATGACAGACTCAGCATACTTTCTACAGTACCACCCTGTCTCCTTAGCTTATCTGAGAAGTGTGGATTTTCTGCCCTGAAATTGATGGACTTCTAGTGGAGAAAGTCCCTCCACCAATGCAATGGATACTTTCTCTGAAACTTAGAGTCCTAGGGAGCTGCCTTGGGGCACTGAGAATTTAAATGATTTTCCCAGAATCCCACAGCCAGGATATAGAAGATGTAACTGAGGTGGGACTTGAACTCAGGTCTTCTTAATTCTGAGGCTAGCTCTCTCTCTCTCTCTACTAGGTAATGATGCCTGCTGAATTGAATAGAATGAATTAAGGAAAGGAAGAGGGTCTCTAGTAGCTTCATGTAACACAGTTATAAATGAATCTCTTTTTCTGTCAGAGTTTAAGACATCCAAGCACAAAATGGAAATAATAACATCGGTAGCTTACATTTTTCTTGTGCTTTTAAGTGGGCCAGCACCCTTGCTTTATAGCCACTGTGGGAGGCAAGCTAGTGGAAATATTACCTATTCTCCCTATTTTACAGTTGGAGAAACTGAGGATCAGAGTGATGGGGCCTTGACATGAGCTGTACAGGTAGTAAACATTAGAACCAGGGCCACGACCTGAGTTTTCTCACTTCAAGACTCAGTGCTCTTGGTATTACTATGTGACACAGGGAAGTGACGCTTTTCACCTTTCACAAATGTAATCAGCAATGCAGCTATCCCCTGGACTACCATTCTCCAGAGAAATTAGAAAGATTCACACATTTCTCAAAGATTTTTCATCTGCAGATTGTCTAGTGTGGATAATTGATGTGTGGCTTTAGAATATAACATATAATTTGTTGAGGGTGGACAGGAGTTAACAGGTCTCCTTTCCTAAATATGTTTGCTAATGATAATATTAAGGATTTTTGTTTGTTTGTTTGTTTGTTTCCTGGGCCATGTCACACTGGATGAGTAACTTTTCCTCTGTCTCAGTTTTCTCAACTATAAAATGGAATAATAAATGTACCTACCTTCTAGGGTTGTTTGAGGATTAAATGAGATTATATTTATAAAGTCCTTGGCATGGTGCCTGACCCATAATAGGCACCTCATATATGTTTAGCTTCCTTTCTTCCTTCCTTCTTTCCTCCCTTCCTTTGTTCCTTCCTCTCTCCCTTCTTTTCCTCCCTCTTTTCTTTCCTTCCTTTCTCCCTCCTCTCCTTCCTCCCTCTCTCCCTTTTTTCTCCCTCCTTCCCTTCCCTCTTTCTCTGCTTCCTTCCTTCCTTTGTTTCTTTCACCCTCCCTCCCTTCCTTTCTTCCTTTAGTATAAGGGAGTAATCCATGTATGGGCTAAAAAAAAAAACAGGAAAAGTCAGGATGAAATGAACAATTACCATGGTATATTTAAACCACACTTAGACAATCAGGAATTTACTCTATATAAAAGATGAAAGCTCTATATGAAAGGGTACATCATGAACAAAATTATGAGAGTCCTTGGGGCAAATGGTTTCATCAGTGTGGGCCCTCCATCCACTAACCCTGATTGTAACCGATCTGTAAATGGTATCCAAGAATTGCTATGATCGAAGAATTCACCGTCTGTGGCACCCTTGTTGATGAGTCTCTCTGGACTTGACTAGGCTGGTCCTCCTACAGAAAACATACAGCCTGTCACAGGTCCCAAACTCAAAGGCATTCCAACTTGGAAACTATTCAGACTTTGAGTTCAACTGCCCTCGCGTTAGGAAGCCTAGAATTACCTACACACCATAGTGAAGGAGCCACGTGGGATGTTAGTGAACATCTATTGTCATTGGTTCTTAACCTGGGTCTCTGTGAACTTATGTGGATAGACAGAGAGATAGACAAATGATAGAGACAGACAAAATGATAGAAGACAGGTGGACAGATAGATGCTAGAGAGATAGATAAACAGAAAGATGACAGACAAATAGATAAATATCTGTATTTAATGTCATCAATTTCTTTTGTCAAACTATTTTATTTTATCCTTTTAAGAACATTATTTTGGCAAAGGGTCACCAGACTCCTGAAATTAGCACATGATACAAAAAAGTTTACGAGCTCCTGGGTTAGACTGTAAGTTCTCTGAGGCCAATGACTGATTCATTTTTGTCTTTGTATCCCCAGTGCCTAGCACAGTGCTTGACACATAAATGGTGCTTAAGAAATCCTTGTTGATTGATTGGTTATTTAATAGGAAAACTTAAATATAAATCTGAAGCATTCCAGCCACACTGGTTTCTAGATATTATTACCATGCTGTTCACTGGCCTTTTGGCTTCCTGATAAATTCATGTATCTCTACATCTACATTTCCCTGATTCCTCATTAATTTATTTTCCTACACTTCTCACCAAGTCTTGCAGAGTCCTGTTGCATTCCACCTCCTCACCAGAATATCCCATTTCTACCACAATTCCTAAAATAAACAGGAAGCCTTTATTCTATACCAAAGGAATGACAACACATGACATCATTAACTGACTCTGTTGGTCTTACCATGTTAGAGGTGTGCTTATTATCACTACAGTTCATGGCACTCTGGGCCCACTCATAGGTGTACCTTACCTGCAGAGAATATCCAATAGATGGAAATCTCAGTGGGGAGTACTGTTTAGATATGCAGAAATCTGGGGAGGTTATTCTTCCCTATGGTTACTTCCAGTACAAATGCATTTAAACACACCTTGAAACATAAGAATGCAGAACAGTGGAAGGTAAACTACTTGAGGGTGAGTGCCTCATCTCTTTTTGTCTTTAGACTCAAAGCACATAGGACGTATTTGAGAAATGGTTGTTGGACTCAATTGAGTAAGATGTATATATTGATAGGGTAAGACACAAGGCAGCATAGGACTGTGGAAAGAGCAGTGGTTCTAAATTCAGAAGTACTAGAATCAGTCTCTAACCTACAGCTGATACTCACTCTCTATGTGACTTTGGACAGATCACTTAACTTCTCTGACTCAGTTTCTTCATCTGTAAAATTAGGAACAGCTAGGTGATGCATATTGAGCGCTGAGCCTGGAGTCAGGAAAATTCATCTCCCTGAGTTCAGATCTGGCCTCAGACACTTATCTAGTAGATATGTGAACCTGGGCAAGTCACTTCACCCTATTTGCCTCAGTTTCCTCATCTTCAAAATGAGCTGGAGAAGGAAATGCTAAACCATTCCAGTATCTGCCAAGAAAAACCCAAATGGGGGCACAAAGAGTCAGACGAGACTGAAAAAACGACTGAACAACAAAAATAATTAGCAGATGGGTCCAGATAGCCTCTGAGGTACCTGCCAGCAACAGATGTTTGACCCTATATTTCACCTTGCTTCAGAATGCAAACACATAAACAGAGGGCTAGATACCATGGCTTATTGAGAAGGGAACATGGAAAGCTTTATCTATATTTGCTTCTTGGCCTTACTAATTACTACCTTGGTGACACTGAGTGAGCCATCCCCCTCTGTGGGCCTTAGTTTCTTCTTCTGTAAAAATGATGGATTGTGTTAAACTGCCTCTAAATTTCTTTCCATTTCTTTGATCCTTTGGTGTAGTTTAGACAGCAGAATGTTTTCTTGTTTGCGTTTTTTCTTTCCTCCCAGTGATTTCTAGGGATTAGGTAAAACAAAGTTGTATTATCTTATTAATTATGCTGCATTGCTTACCTAGGGTTTAACTTCATCCTGTCTCCAGCCTCCAGTTGTCTTCCCCTTCTGTATGTAACAGAGGACTGGGCAATTACTGTCTGGTCCTTCTGAGCGTGCTCACAATCCCCCAAGTGGATTCGAGAGCCAACACAAGCATTCCATGACTGACCTCTCATTGGCATCCCTCTTCCCTTACACTGGATTACATTGATTGGTGAATCAATTGGCTCTGGCCATGAGGATTTTTATTTGCCAGATGTTTTATATTCCAAATGTTTCATAGCTTTTTTTCAACCTTATCCATGTAGTCTGTTGAGAACAATGTATAGAAAGTATCCTTTGTATGCAATCTGCATTTACTTCCTTTTGCATTTATCTTTTTGCCATTTGTCCTGCTGCAATTGTCTCTGAACTAGACCCCCAGAGATCATGTTTTGGGGGAGCTTAGCCCCTCAGCCTTCGAATTCCCCAGCTTTGGGGTTATTGTCCTAGTTGGAGAAAGCTCAGTGTATACAGCCATCTCAGATCCACCCACGGCCATCTTGACATCCACTGAATATACTCTTACCACAGGGCCATCTCCAATCCTCCTGATCTGTATCTTACCACTGGACCCAGATGGCTCCAGAGGAGAAACTGAGGCTGGTGATTTTGCACAGCTCTGCCTCACTTCAATCCAATCACTTTCAAGTCATGGCATCATTGTCCTGATGTCATGGTCCTCTTTGAGAAGGCAGGACGACATACTCCTACCCCATGTCTTGAGCTGGGGATGATAATTGAATCTATGGTCCCATTATGAAGGATGGCCCTATTCTTCTATTCACTGTTCCTTTAGCTTCCAAAATCCAAACATTCTTTCCTGACCAACGCTTCTAGAAAGTGTAATCCTTTAGGACACTTTTATTCCTGTCTCTTTTGTTATATTAGTATCCCTGGGGCTTATGTAGTACTAAATAATTGCTTTTTTAATTCTTTCACTAATGAGTTTATAGCTCAACTGATATATATGCTTGTCCCCCTTTTTTCTTTAAAATGTATTTTTCAACGAACAAGTATGTATTTTTCCTCTGACCTTCCACCTTCGAATTAGGAGAAAAGAAAAACCCTTGTAAAAAAAAATATACCCAGTTGAGCAAAATAAATTCCCAAATTGGCCATGTCCAAAAATGTATACTTTGTTCTAAATCCTGAGTCCATCTCCTCTAGATCAGAAAATAGGTGGAATTCAGGCTTCATCTTCTGTGCTCTGTTTGGTTATTGCATGACTACAATGCATACATCTTTCAAAGTTTTTTTTTGTCATGCTGTTATTGTATAAATTATTCTCTTTGTTTTGTTCACTGAACTCTCCATCAGTTCATATAAATGTTCCTACGTTTCTTTAAAAGATTTCTTTGCTCATTTCTTATAACATGTTGATATTCCATCCCATTCACGTACCATAATTCATTCAGTCATTCCTTCCTTTTCCTCTTGGTTTTATTTCCTTTTCTGAAGAGAATGGTGAGATGGAGAAGAGGTGGAGTTTTTGTTTTGACCCAGGTACTAATGCCTACTTCACTTCCTTTTAATCAACCATCAAATCAATCAACCAACAAGCATTTTAAAGCACCTACTATGTGCCAAGCAGTGTACTAGGTGCTGGGGATACAAAAATAGGGAAATAGTACCTGCCCTCAAGGAGATTACATTCTGTTGGAGGAAACAATGTATACACATATAAAGAATGATCATAGAATAAATTTAAAAAAAAACATTTTCCAGAGAAAGGCATTAGAAGCTTGGTTTGGGGGAAGGAGGAGGGAAAGCTTCAGGTGGGAGGTGGCACTTTAATTGTGCTTTGCCCAAGGAAAACATTTTTCTTTGCAGAGCACATTTTGAGACACCAGCAGTTCTCCTGGTGCTTAGACAGAAGAGAAAGAAAAAAACAGTAGCTTTTTAAAACCCTAAAACAATGAAGTTGACTAAATCTAACAACCGAGTTAATAAGAAATCCCTGAGGTGGAAATTTAAAGGTTCCCCGCTCCCCACCAGTAGGCACTTTGTCAACAGTAAGGATTAGTCTCTAAGGTCTGAAAGCCAGGGATAGAGAAAAAAATATTTAATGCGAAAGACGAGATTGTATTTCTGATTGCAGTAAGGTGCATCCACCCATTCTTTGATATCCACTTAGATGGAATATAAACACCAGACTTTAATGCAGAGAATAAAGTCTGGGCATCATTAGCATAAAAATGATGCCCTTTAAGAAAGCACCATATCCTGAAAGAGACAAATTGGTACATCCTTAAATCCTTTTTGGATTTCAGAAGAGAACAAGTCTTACCTTGCCATATGACCAGCAGAGCGTTGAGAATACCTCCGGCATAAATATGTATTTATTTGATTTGTGCAGGAGGAAGGGGGCCCTTCACTCCCCAGCTCAGGGAGATATTCTCTCAAGGTGTGCAGGCAGCCAGAAGAATTTTAAATCCGGAGAAGTCACAGAAGCCCCAATTTGACATTTATCCAGTGGCCTATGTCAGCCTAAATTCCCCACTCCCTCAACCCCCACTCCCCTGCCAATTAGAGCCTTGGCAGGTGATAAATTGGGCTTCTATCAGACCACAGTGAGTCAAGATTCTAAACATTTAGGTGCTGGTGGTATGAATAGTTTGGGTAATTTTATCTATCAGAATTCTCCTGTCTTCAGAGTGCACAAGGGAATGAGGGGAATTTTAAAATAGTGAAAAGAAAACTTAATTTAAAAAAAAAAAGCAACCCTTCCTGAATTATATCCCTTCAAATTATCCGCCTCTTCAGCACCAGCGAAATTTCTAACTGGCCCTTAAGTAACTAGCAATTAAGCCTAGAGCAAGAGACACAAAATATACTTTGGACAATGAAAAATCATTCGAGGTGGGCTGAGAGGGGAATGCTCAGGGAGAGGTCTCAGACCCAGGGGATAAGGCCCAGTGATGGAAGAAACTGACCACCACCATTTGATGGGCTAACAGAGATGCTAGTACACTCTAACAGGAAGGCCATGACATGGAGAGAAGGCTGGACACAGAGCAGCTCTCCAGGGCTTCCAAAGGAAGGGCTAATTATTCCTGCTAATAACTAGGTGTGAAAGTTTAATTATTCTATTTTGTTAAGGAATACAAGTGCTCTCAGGCCCCTTTAAATGTTGAAATCCTGGTACAAAACCACTGTCACCCCACCCTCTACAACTCTTCATAAGCAGTGGGCCCTCAGAGACAGGCAAATAGGAAAGTTGCTGCTTTCACCCTATTAATCTCATCCATATTTTGGCATATTTAGGATCCATCGAATACACTAGCCTGGCCATAGAGCAAAATTTTACCACAGAAAAAGCAGATATGCAGGCAGGCAATCCAAGTTGTAGCTGATGTAGACATTTTCATTTAAATGAAATAGCATTGCTTTGACCTATTAGCTTAAAATATTTTTAAAGGATTAATTCAGTGACTATTTTTGTGCTACCAGAGAACCGAATAATTGAAGGTGAGGGCTGAACTGAATCTGACTTGGTATTTAGGATTTCAAACAAATATTTCCCCTCTCAATTTTACACTTAGAGAAACCAAAACACAGAGGGGTTTGGAAAGTAATCGAAGTCAGTCACATATTCTCACTGTGAGAGGTTTCTAGAAAAACAGATCTTTCTATTAAAAATGACCTTAAATCATAATAAAATGCACACAGTACTCCTACCGAGTCTGGGAAGCAGGCTTTCTACGGACTATAAGAGAATGTAAGCTTCTTGAAGGCAGTCCATGAAGCAAGAAACAATTATTAAGCATTCATAATGTAGCAAGAACTACCTTAGCATGTAGGATGTAGATACCGAAGTGAAACATACTTGCCTTTGAGGAGCTGGCAGCTATAGCCATAAGGAGGTACAAAATTGATTCGTTGTAATTTTGGCAGGAAGGCCCTAGTAGCTGGGAATATTGGAAAGTTTCTATGTAGAATATAACACTTAGGCTTCACTTGAAGGAAAGTAGGGGGTCAAAAAAGTAGAGGTGAGGAAAGAATGATGGAAAGAGTCCCCACTCTGGAGTCAGGACTGGGCTCGGACTTTCTTGCGATATTTATTACCAGTATAACCTTGGGGAAGTAACTTGACTTCTCTGTGCCTCAGTTTCCTTATCTGTCAAATGAAAGGATTGTCCTAGAATATCTACAAGGACCCTTTTAGCTCTGGCTCCTTACCCCTATGATTAAAGAATGTCAAGGCAATATGACAGAGCCTTGAATAGAGGGACGAATCTGGAGTCGTGAAGACTTGAGTCAAATCCAGGCTCAGACACATGTTAGTTCTTTGTTTTCCAAGAGGATCAATGACATCTCAGAGTAATGTTTTGACTTACTTGCTGGGTAACTGTGAACAAGTCACTTAACCTTTGTCTGGCACAGTTTACTTATTTCTAAAATGGGGAGGGGCAGGGGCAGCTAGGTGGCGCAGTAGATAGAGCACTGGCCCTGGATTCAGGAGGACCTGAATTCAAATGTGACCTCAGACACATAATACTCACTAGCTGTGTGACCCTAGGCAAGTCACTTAACCCCATTGCCTAGCCAAAAATAAAAAAATAAAAAATAAATAAAATGGGGAGGGGCAGCTAGATGGCACACTGAATAGTACACCAGCCCTGGAGTCAGGAGGACCTCAGTTCAAATGTGACCTCAGACACTTACTAGCTGTGTGACTCTGGGAAAGTCACATAACCCTGATTGCCACATACATACACACACACACACAAATTCATAATAATAACAGCCTTGACCTCCCAGGACTGTTGTGAAGATAAAATCATCTATTATTTATGAAGCAACTTTGCAAACTTTAAAGAGCTATATAAATGCTAACTTTTTGTTCTCTGTTATTCTAGACCAATAAGTTCTAGGCTGACTACATTCATCTTTGCTTCTTAGGTTGAAATTCACGTCACCCATGGGAAAGATCATTTCTGCTAGAGATTTAAAAATTTGATTTGGAAAATCATTTGGAAAGTGTAAACCATGTTGTTTCCCAAACAAGAAAGAAAGTGCCTGGGAATATCCCTCAACAGAAGAAATCCTGATTGGAATGGCATTTGTGGGGTTACTTTCTGGAGCCCAAGGACTCCTGCCGTGCTTGGAGTGTGGATAACACTCAAGGTATAGGAAGCATTTTGTTTTAGGCTGTTGAAATGGTGGGAAAAAGAGGTCTGGGTTTGTCTCCCCTATGTTTTACAATTTGATTTTCAGAAGTTCTTATATGTCTGCCCATGACAACCAGAAAGGACAAGAAGCATGTCTCCGATTTCTAGTCGCCAAAGTATCTAATGCTGTGTTATCAGCTTCTTCAGAAGCAATTGCAATATTTTAATTGCTTCTCATCGTTCTGTAACATAATTTGTAGAAAATTAATTCTAATAGCATCAGTGGCAGACACAGCAGAGATCAGGTAAGAGGAAATTTTCATATATAATAAGTTCAGCTGCTGTTTTCTTAATTTTAAAAAATTACACAGGCCAAGGGGAGGCTTGGCTAATTTCCAAAACAAGTTGCTATTTTCAGATATAAAATTAACAAGGAACTTTGTTAACTTTTTAGAGTGCTAGATCAGGAGTCAGGAAGATCTGGGTTCAAATGCCTCCTCAGACACTGCCTGCCTATGTTACCCTGAGCAAGTCACTTCAAGGTTGCCATCTTTAATAACTTTATCTGTAAAATGGGATCATAACAAGAGCTCCCTACAGGATTGTTGGAAGAACAAATGAGAATGATTATAAAACTTTTTCAAAGCACAAAATGTTATGTAAGTGTGAGCCGTGTATGGGGTGACATAGATTTTATTAAAGCTGTTTTAGCTTTATTGTTACTTAAGTAATAATAAAGCTAAAATAGTTTTAATTAATAATAAAGCTAAAATGGTTTTAGTAGCTTAAAACTGCAGCAAGACACTTGGGACACCCTATATAAAAGAAAGACAATGTGGAGCAATGGCAAATGTTCTGAATTCAAAAGACCAGGATTCAGATCTCACCTCTGACAATGCCTATGCTATTTAATCTTTCTGGGCCTCTGTCTCCTCATTTGCAAAATGAAGGAATTGTACTGAGGACCTAAACGGAAAGCTTAAATTATAGGAGCTTACACTGTTAAATCATTGATTGGCCCAAAGATGTTTTAAATCTCTCACTGGATGACTCTCTAACTTGTTAGAAGGCAAAGGGCATTGAAAATGGGCTCATGTTCTACCTTCTAAAGTCCCATCTAAGCTGGAAATCTACGAACCTAAGCTAATGCCATGGTTTTTCCATGGGTGCAAAAGACAAGTCTGCCATATTGTTACCCCCTCCCCCATTTTCTTCTCTCTTGTTCCCTGGTAAGAAAAGTTCAGGTTGAGACCAAACAAGACTCCTGTCACCCTTCCTCAACCCCTGCCTTAGTGCTGTGTCCATCTCTGCCTTTCCCTGTCCCTGTGTCTTCTTTCCTCCTCTCAGAGGCTGAGCCTAATTTCACTGCTATTTTTAAGAGCAGATTTCACCTCCAGACCTCTGGGCAGCAGCTGCTTTCTGAAAGCAGAGCAGGCCAGCTGTTGCTCTGTCTCCTCCTGGCCCATTTTTAATGCCTCCTGAGCATTGGGACAGCTCTCCTCCCAGCCACTGCTTCTTTTTAGTGTCTACCAAAAGGTTTCCGGCCTGAAAGGGGACCAGCCAAGTCAACTGGGCTCTCCCGCAGACAGAATGAGACCATCTGATAGTCAACCTGCAAGTGGCAGCTCAAGATGGGTACAGGGTGTGCCAAGTTCCCCGCTGCGCTGGAACAGCCCTCTGTAGAGTGTTAAGACCTCAAAAAAGAATTTCAGCACTTAAACCCATAACCTGTGAAAATGGGGGTAATTACAGAGAAAAGGAAGAAATGTCACGGGTTCTAGCGGCAGCAGGTTTTTGATAAAAAGAGTTAGCCTGAATAATGCTAGGAGGCAAGAAAATGATATTATTATGTTATTAATTATTAATGTGACATAGTAAATTAAAAAGCCCCTCCCACACTCAGGAAAATGTGGATTTGGGCCTCTCCTCTGACATGTATTGCTTGAGGAATGGTGGTGTGGCCCAGGCTTTGGATGGAGTCAGAGGATCTGGGCTTACTTCCCACCACTGATGCTGTCTCTGTGACCTTGGGTAAGTCTTTTCATCTCTATGGGATTTAGTTCCCTCATTTAGATCCCTCATCATTCCCTCAATCATGAAAGGGTTGCTCCTAACAGGTGGCCCACTCAGGATTCAGAACAAGATACATATTGCAGGGCGGGACCCATGCAGGAATTTATTTTGCTTGATTTAGGCATGCTTGTTACAATTAGTTTTTTTTTCTATTATGGGGGGGGTGTGAGAGAGAGAGAAGAGAAAAGAAATGTTTGTTAATTGAAAAATAGAGGGTGTAAGTTCAAGCCCATCATTTTACCAATGTGGAAATGGAAACAATGTGAAAGGATGTGATTTGCCCAAGCAGTCACCATTCAAGGTAGGATTTGAATCTGGGACCTCAGAGTCCTGGACTGCTTCCCTTGTCCTACCTTGAACAAGGCACTTAATTTCTCAAAGTCCTATGCAATTCTCTTAGCCCACACTTGGCAGAGTTTGTACCAATCTACATCGGTGAACATCTCCTCAATAGGAGATCCTGATTGTTACCAATTAAGTTGTCGGGTTGATGAGTATGCACTCACACATACATATACAGACTACATATTTGTGAAACATGTATGGATATGTATATATATGTGTGTGTTTATATTTACTTCTCCAGATACCTTTAGATATATAGATATGCATACATATATATTTAAAATGTTTTAGATATATACATATATGATATAGATATATACATATATGATATATCATATATGTATATCGTATAGACCAGAGGGGGGGAAACTGTGGCCTTCTAGATCCTTGGGTGCAGCCTTTTGATTGGGTCCACGTTTTATAGAACAAATCCTTTTATGAAGGGGATGTTTTTCTGTGAAGTTTGGATTCAGTCAAAGGGCCACACTTGAGGACCTAGAGGGACACATGTGGCTTTGAGGCCACAGGTCCCCCACCCCTAATACAGATGTACACATATCAATATATGCCTATGTTTAAAACAAAAAAAAACCCTTAACATTTTAGTTTGTAAATCATGATCTGGTAAAATAAAAGAACCATGATGCTGAATGTGTACGATATTTTTTGTAACCCATATAATTACTCTATTTCTACTCTCCTGATTAGCCTGCGACAATAACCAATTAGCTGCACATCTCCCACTCCAAAAAGTGGTCGCTGTGATTGGTGCCCCACAATGGTGTCAGTGCTCAGCATCAATGCATCTCCAACCAGGGAAGGAACTTTAATTTCTCTCCCAGCCCTTCTCTGGATATAATGACTTAAATGGCAATTCCAATAGTTCTTCTTTGTGTCCAATTAAGCTGCTAAATGTGTTAGGTGGGGGTGAGGAATCCATAGCAGCCAGAAGCAGCTTTCTAAAACCGTCCCCTCCGTAGCAGCAGAAGTTCCAGGAGCGCTGCGACAATCTCTAATACCTGGATAAACTGGACAACACACAAAAGGAGCCCCATACCCCGCGTCCATTTAGTCAGGGCAGGTAATGGCCCAGCCTCTGTGGCTGTCAACATTGGTCAGCATAATAATAATTTAAATAACCTTTAGGTATGCAAAGCTCCATTTCATCCTCACAAGAATCCTATGGAGTAGTGTGGTGAATTGGATACAAAGGCTGTCTTTCTGAGTCAAGAAGACCCATCGAGTCACACTGACCAAGGCTCTCTCTTCTCAACCCCTTATGGGGACTCTCTAAGATTAAGCCCTATAGAAGAGTTGCCGGCCTTTATTGGTAGGGAAATTTCCCTCACCTGGAGTTCCTTTCATCAATGAAATAAGAAGTATGTTCCAAATGAATAAATAAAATCAACACTCTTATGTAGATATGACAATCAATTAGCAAGCACTTATTAAAGACCTACTATGTGCCTAATGCTAGGATTACAAAGACAATGATGAGACTGACCCTGACTTCCAGGAGCCATATAGAATGCCATTTTTCATAAGAAGCTGTCCACTCTGCATTGGTGAAATCACAGATCTAGTCCAAAAGAAAAAAAAAACTTCCAGTTACAAAAATATTTTTAAAACACCCAGCTCCTCCCCCACCCTGGCTGGTGCTCTACTCAGATTTTTAAATCTAAGTAATACACAGGTTGTAATGTGCCTGGCTGGAAGACATTCCCTTACATACTAAAGGTCTCAGGTTGGTTACTGATATATTTATGATGGCAAAAGATGAAATTCTCTGTCCAGTGTTAGGGTAGAGATGGAGATCCAAATGAAAAGTGACGTTAACAGACTAAAGAAAAGTAGGTACTTTATTAGCTTCAGCTGGAGAACAAACTCATTTCACTCAAGTTTAAGGTCATTATTAAGCATCTCATGGCAAACATGTCCAGAGTTCCCCAAATCACTAATGGAGTCAAGGTTAGAGCTCTTATAACTAAGTTTGTCTTTCTCCCTCAGACTTTCCTCTTCCCGTCTTCTCCATTATTAATAAGGGGGAGTTAAGGACCTCACAATTGCCTCCGGAATCAATGCTTCTAACCATAGAGCCATCTTTCCTTTCTCTTTCTTATTCATTCAACATTGCCCATTAATCACTGAGTCCTTTCAAATGGAGCTCTGCATCACCACAGGATCATAGTGACCAGAATTAGAAGTCAGGAAGATGTGAGCAGCACAATGGATAGAGCATTGGTCCTAGAGTCAGGAAAACTTATCTTCACAACTTCAAATCTGTCTTCAGACACTTACTAGCTGTATGATCCTGGGCAAGTCCCTTAACCCTGTTTGCCTCAGTTTCTTCATCCGTAAAATGAGCTAGTGAAGGAAATGGAAAACTACTCCAGTGTCTTTGCCAAGAAAACCCCAAATGGGGTCATGAAGAGCCAGACAGAACTGAACAAGAGCTAGATGTCTTTTACTCTGTCTTCCTCATTTTGTTTTTCAGATTAGTCTTCAACTTACCATTCTAGCTGCCACCGCCCTAATTGAGGTATTTTTATATGCACTAATACAGCAGGTTCCTAGGAGATCTCTCTCCTCTCTGCCTCAAACAAAGCCAACCCAAACAGGTCACTGAACAAAATAATCATATTAATAGGAACATAGATCTGGGACATCAGATGCCATTTAGTCTAACTTAGCTGCCAAATTCATCTTCCTTATATACTCACACAGGTTTATTAAAGTTCATCCTTTACTGAGAATCCATCACTGCCACCCTGTTGCACCATCCAATGTGAAAATTGCTGAATTTGAAGTCAGAAACCCACTTTCAAATCCTGGCTTTATCTACCCACTGGCTTTATGTGTCTGGGCAAATCCCTTCACGTGTTAAAGTAAAGGAATGCAACAATCTTTAGGAACCGAGATCAAGACCTGGAAGGGAACACAGCTGCTACCCAGTCCAATCCTCTTATTCTACTGAAGAGAAAACTGAGGTTCAGAGTGCTTAAATGATTTGTCCAACGTCACAGAAATAGTAAGCATCAGAGGCAAGATTTTCATCCAGGTCCTCCTAGCCTAGAACCAGCACTCTTCTGGTGTGGAAAACCCCATGTGTGTGTTTCTCAATACATAATTTGTCACTTATACTGTTTATTTTACAGGTCTTGCCCCAGGTTACACAGCCATTATATATCAGAAGCAGATGTTGTACCCAGATCTTTCTGCCTATGAGGCCATTAGGATTCAAGCTCAGCTCTCCCTTGCTGTGTGACCCAGTGCTCTGTAAACTTCCCAATGAAAATAGAGATAGATCATTTCATCCTTTGTCTCTGTATCCCTCACAGCCAGCATACCACTGGACATGTGGGAGACAATAAATGTTGCTATACTGGCGACTGGCTGATTCTTCAGGTCTCAGCCAGATGGTTGGCACTGGGCACATGCATGCACACACACACACACACACACACACACACACACACACACACACACACACATAGTGTGTGTGTATATATATGTATGTATGTGTATATATGTGTGTGTATATATACATATATGTGTATGTATATATATGTGTGTGTGTGTGTGTGTGTACATATATATATACATACATACATACATATATATATATATATATATATATATATATATATATATATATATATATATATATATATATATATATATATATACATACATACATACATATATATATGTATGGTAAAACCCGTCAATGAAATAACAAATATTTGTTGAATTTAAATGAATTCTTTCAGGTCACTGAGGCATCAGTGAATAAATTACTCCAGTCTATATGGTATTCCAATGGACTGAAAAAAAAAACACAAGATACAACCAAAGTAAAGTAATTCATTTTTTCCTATTCCTTAACAAAATGTTTCACAATATTTTCCTTTAAAAGAAAATTTCAGACACTTAACTGGAAGCCCAGTGCCAAACATCTGAGACCCGAAAAATCAGCCAATCTTCCAACATTTATTATCTCCTACAGGGAGACGTGAGTTTGAATCCTAATTCAGGTACTTATTAGCGGAGTGACCTGGGCAAGTCCCTTAACCTCTGTCAGCCTCAGTTTCCTCATTTACAAAATGGAGATAATAGCAAGTGTTTTGCAAACATTAAGTGCTCTATAAATTTTTGCTCTACTTTTGTCAAGCTATCCCTCTCAAAAGTAAAATTGTCTCATTGTTCAAATGCCAAAGATTCAGATGGCTGAATGTCTTTTCTACTAATCTTACCTGTATTGGCATCATAAAACATTGCATGGATCATGTAGGGATTGTGTTTCTTAGTGGCAGTGCTGTTGTGAACTACATGATATGAGGGGTTTTCGGTTTTCAGCATCCTTCAAGGGACAAGGTTCGTATTAGCAGACTTGGAATTCTTGCCATCCTGTAAGGCAGAGAATTGCTAAGCCTTTTCCTAGTAGAAACACCTAGCTTGTCTGGGCTTCTGAAAAGCTCTTAAGTTCCATGAACCCAGAACAAGCTTATGCATTTTCTCCATATGTCCATCAAAAGAAAGAAAAAAGTTTCAGCTCTGTGTGTGTGTGTGTGTGTGTGTGTGTGTGTGTGTAGCAAGAGAAGAGTAAATAGGCTTGTGTTTGGCTCACAAACAAATGACTCTTTAGTGAAAAGAAAGTCAAATGTTAATTAAACCCATGCAGTGTTTGGATGGATAACATCACTCTGTATTGTTAAATCCGCTTTGATTTTAATTGCATGACAAAAAAAATAACTGTAAATGTATTGCTGACAGAGGTTTTCCTCAAAATCAAATCCCATTTAAACGCAAAAGTACTCCTTTTCATTATATTTTGAGTGAGCCCATGGATGCTAAAACCTAACACCGCAGTCACTGATCAAACTTATTACAGAGAGGGCCCTTCCCCCTACCAGCCACAGCCAGTCTAGTTCTTTTATTCAAAAATGGCATCTACCCTAAGTGAACCTGGAATATTGCAATAGTGAATGGAAGCCGTTCCCTTTGTTGTATTTGGTTTGAACCTTTCCACTTCTCCCCAAAGAACGTACTTGTTCATCTCTGCCTCCTCTCTTAATGATTTGTAGCCCAGAGTGGTTGGGTGGTCAAGGAGTGGCAATAAAGACAATTACCCATCATATCTGGATTTTTCCAATGATTTGCTCTCCTTCTGTGATTCCATAAACCATTCATGCACTCAGTAGATTTTCTCCTGCAACCCATGCAAAGACGTAAAGTCTTCCCAATTTGCAAGTTGGAAACATTCAAAGAGGTTTCTGAATGAGAACCCAAGATAGTTTATCTCCCTCACCCATCAGTCTTGCCTCCCTGATTGTCTGTCTCTGTATAGCAGAGTCAATAAAAATGATTAGAGTTGGCACCTCACAAATGTACACCCTTAAACCATGAAGCAGGAATGCCATGCGGGAAATATTTTTCTGACCTTTTCAAATTACATCCAACTGTCTAGGGGATTTCTCGGTAACTAGAGGTAATAGGGTTCAATCCATTTTAGGAGTTGGCTTCAAATTTAGTTCCTCTTCGGAAGCCTGGACTTATCTCTTCTTTTTATCTTGGCCCTGGCATCCATTCAGTACTGTAATCCGTGCATCTAATCTCCACCCCCACCCCCAATCGGGGCTTGTGAAAGGATCACATTGTGAAAGCCCCAACCATGAAAGACTCTCCATTTATTGCACCCTCCAAAAACGAAATATTAGCATGGGAGGCGAAGATGGTATGTTGCCTTTTGAGAAGCTCTTGTTGAATTTAATTAGCTTTTAGATTTCATCTCCATCCTACATCTCAGTTTTCACTGCCCTATGTGATTTATGCTTCAGTGACTTTCATTTATATAAAACTTTTCAAACTTAGCTATGCCACCAACACATCCTGGAATATGAAAGAGCAGAGGGTAAAAATGTGTAAAGTTCTGTATGTTAAATTGATTTCACTTGAGTGTTTTATTTTCTTTTTCTTCCTTTTTTTCTTCCTTTTTTTTTTATTATGTGAGTCCAAATGCAATAGACACACTCACCCTGTTAAGTGAGTGAATCACCCATGTGAGACGTACCACACACACACACAAAAAGACAGCTGCACTGCCCCATTCTTTACTGTGCCCCATGAAGTAGAACAGAAAACACAAGTTAAGGACACATTTCTTAAACTTGTGAAAGTAGGGGAGGGGGTGCATTAGGAAGGCTGGCCTACATGGGAAAGCTCATTTTATTATTTTTTTTTTACACATTGGGGACATATTCGTACCTTTAGGGTGTGTGTGTGTGTGTGTGTGTGTGTGTGTGTGTGTGGTGTGTGTGAGAGAGAGAGAGAGAGAGAGAGAGAGAGAGAGAGAGAGAGAGAGAGAAGAGGAGAGCAAGAAAAGGGAGAGAGAAAGAGAGAAAATATCTCTGTTTTAACATCTCCAGCATCCTATATTGTGAGGCTGTGCTGATATTGTCTTCACAGGGGCTCCTACAAGAGAGTGTCAAGTCTGAATTGCCAGTCCCCAAAGACCTAGTTGTGATTGAAACTGGGCTTGCTCTAGAGAGCTGTGCACGCAAAGGCCAGGAGGGTAAAAGTTTGAGGAATTCACTCCCAAGAACAGTAAGTATTATATGTTGTGCTGTTTGCTACTGTTCCTGCTGCTTATAATATTAGAATCTGTTGAAGGTTGTTCTGAACCTTGTAAATTACGTTGAAAATGATTACCCTGTATGTTGAAAATGTCATTCCAGTTCACTCAGTTTTTATTTGTCATAGTTGGGTTTTTTCTCCTTGTTGCAAATATGGAAATATTGAAATCTTACCATATATTGATCAAACCTTGACTTTTTATTCTATAGATAACCATTTTCTTTTATAGCAAAATCACTTTTTCTTTCCTCTCCAGACTTTTCTACATGGAAAACAAAAATGTGAAACAGGGAAGGCATCATCAGAAGATGTTCACCTGGAGAAACTCATTGAGACTGTGTCTTTGTTTACAATTTTTTTTTTGACAAAGCTCTATTTTGGTTTCTTAAACTATTCATGGCATTAATTTTTTTTTAAAAAAATGCATGCTCTAGCATGCACACAGAGAGATAAAAATGTTTCTGCAAAAGAGGGTATGATAAAAAAAAATACCTACAGGTAGTTTATCTCCAACAATTCCATCAAACTTTGTTATCGTCACAACCTAAACATCTACCGCTTTGTTTTTTGGACAGGGTGAACATGAAGAACAGGTACTCTGATGAGCAAAGGTAAGTGGTTTCTGTAATATGCAAAGTCAGATATTTCCATCAATCTGCCCTTCAATTTGGTATCTACATACCAGATGGGGCAGTTTGGAAGTTTCAGGGGCCACAATTAAATCGATTGTTTCATTAACTCAATGAATGGCACGGGATGTATGTGATATATACTTAGATAATAAGTGTGCAGTTTAATCATTGGGGTTTGGGATGGGGAGGCAAGATTGCTAATTGGAAATGGATTTCAATGTCCATGGTTGTGTTCCTTCTTGGTAGTAAATTGGAAACTTGGACAGCTTAACTCTAATTACTAGATAGCATCATTTCATTGGCTTTAACCCGACCGTGATGCCCTTGGCTCACCTATAAAATGAATATGGTCACATAGGTAATTTATTCCACCCACTTCGGTGGTACACCTGAGTTACTTTTGGTAATAGCAATTTGAGACAGTGATCTCTTTGCTGCAAACTACCCATTTTCTAGGGAGAGTAGGGAAGAGAGCAAATAGTCTTCCTGTAGCTGGGGGGAAACAAATGATTTAAAACAAGGGAGAAACATGTGATGTCTCTAGCCTGATTCTTTTCCAAGATTTTTTTTCTTTGTAGTGTGTGATTAAGGAGTTCAAGTGAAACAGTGATAGGGATGATTGCATCTAAAATCAACATCCTTGAGGGCAGGAGAGCATCTGCTATTTGTCCTTGAGTACCCCTAGAACTATACATTGTGTCAAGCTGGTGCTTCATAAATGAATGAATAAATGAATGAATGAATGATGAAATCTTAATAAGGGGAGATAGGTGTGATGATTTCTTGTGTCACTAGTCATAGTTTTCGAAGTCAGTGTACAGAAACAAAAACAGTGAATAGTGGTAATTTATGCATGTTTAAAGGAAAGAGGAATCAGAAAAGTCGATAGACAGTTGCTACTTGATGACAGAATAAAAAAATCTGTGAAGAGCTTTCCTATAGCTTCCTTCTCCCTACAAAGAGGATTGTCTTTGTAGAGAACTGGGTGTTTTTTTTAATTTAAAAAAATGCTAGAAAAGCAGCTACTAGGCTGAATAGATTTTTCACAGACTATAGCCAAAGTGTTATTCTTGTAGGTCTTCTTCAGCATTCAAATTATATTTGGATCATAGGATGTCAGAGGTAGAAGAGAGTCTTAGTTTAGCTTTCTCATTTTATAGATGAGGAAAATGAAGTCTAAAGGGGTTGACTTGTCCAAGGCTTGGTGACAGAAGTAGGGCTTGCCTCTGATTTCCCTAATTCTCAATCTAAATATGTTTCTCCTTCATGTTACCCTATACCATACCTGCCTGTGGAAAACAGCATGGTATATTCAAAGGAATACTAGCCTTGGCTTTAGCAGAGACCTGGATTCAAATTCCACCTTACGCATTTATTAGCTGTGTGATTTTGGTTAAGTAACCTTAACCTCTCTCAGCTTCAGTTTACTCTTCTGTCAAATGGGGATAATACCTGTAGCAACTGCCTCTCTGGGGTGTTGTGAGGATCAAAAGAAAGTTAATGTTTAAATGGCTTCACAAACCGATAAAGCACCTTAAAATGCCAGCTGTTGTTGAGTGGGGTTTTCACTGTGTCTTCTTCCTCCTCAAGTTTTTCTGAGAGGCTGTTTTTTTTCTTTTTAAAGCTTCCTGTGAACCAAAGCTAAATAGTAAACCAAACTCTCTCCATTGCTATGGCAGCTTCATAATGGAGCTCACCTTCCAGCAGTCCTAAATATGCAGAGTTCCTGGTGAAGGGCCTTGGGTGTTGATTCTAGGTAAGTTAGCCTTCTTGTATTACTACTGTAGCTGAGAGGGCTCCTGAAATGAAACCGGCAACCTAAGGGAGACATGTTTGCTAGGCAGATGAGAGAGGACGACAAAGACTGGCTCTATCTTTGAAACTAGTGTGTGAATGTCCAAAGGTGCCTCAACCCTTGTTTGTTGCATTCATAGATTGACTCTTATTGGGAGCTTAGCGAAATGGCGGCAACATCTCCCTCATAGCAGATACACTGTCTTATATGGCATGGGTGAAGATGTAAGTATTATTTTCAATACAGTGTGAGAAGATTAGGGTTCTCTTTCTGTCTCTCTCCATCTTTCTCTCTCTCCTCTTCCTCTCCTAACTTCTCCCCTTCTTTCTCTGAATGTGGTTGTGACCTGATACAATCCACCCACCTAGAAACTTTGGAGGACTCCCTATGCTTTCTTTGGCATCTACAGTCACTCCCATTGGAAAGAGATTTTAAATAATACAAATAGATATGAATCTACCTATTCTGGAGACATCCACTCCACGGAGGAAAACTAGGAGAGAACAACCTCTAAATCTTTCAATTTTCTCAGGGTGAACCTGCCTACACCCCTGTGATATTCTGATAATTCTGACTTACCATCAAGACGGAAGCAGTATTTATTTTCTCCTAATTGGAAGGCTACCAACATCCTGTAGGGTTTTTGTCCCTCTTCTCCACCCCTGCATTGAACAACAAAATCTCTATATGTTTCCATGTACATGGAGCAAGACGACTGGAGACTTTTTGAGGGTTTCAGAAAGAAAAAATAATGACTTATAAAAATTAAACGAGACTGAGGCAGCTAGATGGCACAGTGGATAGAGCACCGGCCCTGAAGTCAGGAGGACCTGAGTTCAAATCTGGCATCAGGCCACATACTTGACACTTACTAGCTGTGTGGCCCTGGGCAAGTCACTTAAATCCAATTGCCTTAAAAAAAATCAAAAATTAAATGAGAACCTCAACAAAGGGAATTTCCAGGCTTGAATTTATCTTTGATATTCTCAGAAACTTGGGGCAGCTAGGTGGTGCATTGTATAGGGCACCTGCCCTGGAGTCAAGAGGACATGAGTTCAAATCCAGCCTCAGACACATAACACTTACTAGCTGTGTGACTCTGGGCAAGTCACTTAACCCCAATTGCCCCACCAAAACTAAACTAAAATAAAATAAAAATAAAGACATTCTCAGAAACTCAATCTTTTATTCACCGGTTATAATTGAGGGGAAAAAGTTATATCTGCTTTAGCCTCACATGAACAAGGGTTATCAGAATGCTTCTTCTCTTATCCCATTCCTAGTTTAATTGCTCCTTAAAATGATGATGGCACCACTGGACAGCAGGAAGCACTTAGTGTACTACATTTGGAATTCTTCAGGTTCCATTTCTCTTGAACAGCTTCCTGGCCAAATAGACACTGTAAGATCAACTCATTATGACAATATAATCAGTTTTTAAATTGAATTTAAATCAGTTACATTTTGATTAACAATTAAAGCCCACTTTTTCTTACTTTTTGATGTCAAAACAAAATTCCTTTTTCCATAGATCAGAAGACCTCTTCATTCATTTTATTTATTGCTGTAGAATTTCTCTTGTGCTATTTCTGGATTTGTCATTAGAGTCCATGAAATCTTAATCATTAGCCCTTTTATTTCCGGGGGGGGGGGGAATACATCAATTTATTGAACTGGCTGCAGTTAAAAAAAAAGCCCACAAAAACCCAGAAAATCAATCTAACATTGTAGCTTAATAGTGGGAAACAAAGAGTAGTCATAATTAAAGGAGAAAAGGACTTTGGTGTTCATTCCAGTTGATAATAAAAAGCCCCTTGCCATAGTGTCTTAGAAAATAATGCATTCAGACTCAGTAGAATTACTGCCTAGCAGATTCTATTTATCTGTAGCTTAAAAAGCAGCTGCGTTTTTGTAAAAAGCAATGAATGTGGCATTCCTACTTAAAGGTGGAAGAAAAAAAACCCACCTCTTGTTTTGTAATAAGGGGATTTTCAATTTAAAAGAGAGAGCAGGCCTGTTGTGTGAAGTATGGTTATTACATTCACTGTATTCTATCTCACCCACCAGGAGGCTAATAATGAGGAGTGAGGGAAGGGGGCCAGGGCCATGAGGGTTATCTCACAGTCCCAGATGCTGGATAAGTTGGAGGAGGCGGAATCACTTTTGGATGACATTCAGAAAGGCCTGAATGCTTATTGGGAGAAGAAAAGACTATTCTTTCCAAGGTAAACAGTTCATTTCATGTACCAGCTGTACAGATCAGTATAAAACATGTTTATATGAAGAGATCCACAAAGTTCATTTTTCCCCCTTATGAAATCATTTTAGGTGTGTGTCGGTCCGGTGATGATCACAGACACTCCGCCAGCATCTTGTGAGACAAAGGATTCGCTCCTGAGCCCTGCCACACCTAAAAAAAATGCTTTGAAGGGCTTGCCGAGCTCACTCTTAATCATGGGAGAGAAATTACCCACATGGAGTCAGCAGAAAATGAAAAAGTGGGCCTCGTGCTGAGATAATTCCAGCAAGTGCCAAGGGGCTAGTTGAGATATGGCTTCATGAGGTGAATATCTTTAGCTCTTACTTAGGGTTTAGTTACTGTATAATCATTCTCTCTTTTAGGAGCAATGAATATCCCAAGTGTGTTTCCTAACCAAAGCTCTGTCTCTTTCCAAGCATCTCTCGGGATAGTGACTGATTCCGTAGGAAATGGAGGTTCTGGGGCCCTGTTGTGGTTTTCTTCTACTCAGGACAAGTTGTAAAGAAGCAGAATCTCATTCAGCGACAACCCCAAGCCAGTGACTGCCACTGTCTGTGTGTATTTGTCTATCTGTTTGAGTATCTGTCTAGTACTTGGTGTCTCCGTGTGTATGTATGTATCTTTGTTCATGTCCTTGTCCCCTCCTTAGGGAAATATCTTGGGCGGATTAGATAGCAGGTGGGTTTTGTCTGACCTGGAGTGGAGGAGTGGTTGGGGAAGGACCAAAGGTGTGATTTTTTTTTGGGGGGGGGAGAAAGAGAAAAGATGCATGTCACCTTGATAATTAATGACCAATCTTAATTTCCAGTCCGTGTTAAAGGACAGAGGGGGGCCATCCCCTGAGGACACTAACCTGCCCCACCTTCCCTTTGGGGGGATCATAATTCCAATTAAACATCAGTTTCAGTGTGAAATTGGTTTGACTGCCTGTCTTTTGTTTGCCTGCTTTAACCCCTTTGTGCCTGTGCTCATTTAGAAGCCCCCTTGAACTCCGTTCCAGTCCGAGGCCCAGGGTCATCCCTAGCGGCCTGCAGCCTGTCTTCTGTTTCTTTTTTCTTATTCTAATGGATAGGTCTGGGATCAGAGTTTTTCTTTCACTTTCTATTATTAAACCCTCTTCCCAGGCCCTTGATTCTGTGTCTACTTTTCTCAAAAGAAGGATTCTTCATTTGCCGTCTGCTTGCCCCCCAAAGCGTTGCCCCGGTTTAAAATATATGCATTCATAGCATTTTATATAACTAGAATAAGTTTTTTTCATATAAAATACACTTATATACAAATATGCGTCAATATGGCGAACATTTGGCCACCTCCATATACTAGCACAACATTGTACTGCTACTTTTTTTTTTCCAGTTAAGCTCAGCTGTATTAAAGTATATAAAATGTATTTTATATAAACCATAATACAACGTATATAATGCTTTAGTGGAAACTTTTGAAGACCTCCTTCTTGTAAGTGTATCATTTTTGGACAGGAAGTGAGAAAGAAAGAAAGCAAAGGGCTACTTTCAAAAGATATTTTGATTGAACTTTGGCTCAGCGTCCGGTCTGCTTTTTGCCAGTTTCTCTTGGCTGACTGAGTCCAAAGAGCCAGCAACAACAACCAAAACCTCCCCCCAAAAAAACAAACCCCCCCAAGGTCTCCCCCTTGCCTCCAGTTTCTCACATTACTGAACCATGGGATCACCATGCCAACCTAGGAGAACCTTGGCTGAAAGCAATAATGCCCCCAGATACTTTGAAACCCATTCATCAGAGTGGGTGGTGAACAGCCCAGGCCTGAACCTAGACAAAGCTCAGCTCTTCCCCCTACCTGCTGGCCCAGGAAGAAATCTTCCTTTGTCCCTTCATCCATCCCTGCTGCTACATCTGGACATCCTTTGAAATGTAGTGGGAGCAGTTAAGCATGATTCCCCTGGTAGAGGCTTTTGGGGGAGGGAGGTAGATGGGAAGAAAGGAAAGATACAAAAGCAAAAGGTGGAATGGGGTCTTCCCAGGGGAAACGTGGGGTCTCTCTGAACTCTCCTCAACAAAGGAGAGAGAAGTATGGTTGGGCGGGTGGAAATGTGGGGGAGGCGTGCAAAAGGTGCAAGAAGATGAGCAGCTGTGTTTATTTTAATACATATCATTTAACCCTCACCTAAAAACAAATTGAAAGGTTTGGGAGTGCATTAATCTGGACCCAATTAGCATTTCTTTCTCCCTCAAAAGTGCAACCTGAGATTAATGAATATAAACTAAGAGTTTCAGATGCAGTCCTTAAATCATTTGCATGTTTCATGCATGATAATTGAATTTATTTATGCACTTCCTCTCATTTAATTATTTCCTGCTCGTTCCTATGTTCTCCACCTAAGCAAAGCCAAGGTAATGATAATAATAATAACATTGATAACAATAATAGAGATATTTGACAGGTTAGGAAAGATAGTAGTAAGGAGATGAAAATAACTTGGTTTGGTCTGAGAAATCAGGTTCCTTATTCATCTTACTGGAATTGGAGGAATGGGAAATTTTTTCCTTTAAAAAACTGTGTTTTTCCAATCTGAAATGCTCTTTAATGTGTTGGTAAATATGCAAACCATGTTATTTTCTAAAGGGCAGAGAAGGCATTTTAAATGATATCATTGAGTCTTGAATGACCCTAGAGAATTGTATTTCAGCATGGCCAATTACAAGAGTAGCAAGGATAGCAGCAGCAGTAGAACATTAATAAAGAATAAAGAACTACCAGGCTTGGGACCTGGAGTATCACAGATGACTGGAGGACTCATACATTACTTTAGCCGACCTATTTAGAATATTTGCTCCAGTGGATACAAAAGCTATATATATATATATGTGTCAGTTTGTCCTAGGGTAGACACACGGAGTAGTTGGCCACTTTGGTCTACTGGTTGAGCTCTATTCTTGGTATCTTTCTTCCCCCCAATTATATTAAGCTGGCTTCACACTTCCATGGCATAGGGCCATAGGGGTGCTGAGCTTTCACCTCTCCCCCGATCCCCAGGGGCAAGTCTCTACGGTGGCAGTGGGCATATTAGGGAGGATGGGAAAGATGTGAAGCACAGTAAAAGACTAGAAAACAATTCTCCCAGTATCGCTCTGTACCAGTGACTTGTCTGTCTCTTGTCTTTCCTCGTGTGTTCCGAGATAAATGTTGAAATGAATCTCTTTTTCTTGTGACATTCACCTTTGGTGTCCCTTGTTTTCAGTGAATCTAACGGTTATGTGTTTCTGAGTGTCCCCTAGTCCTTGTTCCCCTGGTCTTTGTAGCTAGGGATGTCTCTGAGGGACCAAGTCCCACTAATTTGTGATGTCACAATTTAAGTGTGTTCCCTGTCTCTTCAATGTAGTTTGAAATGTTAAGTAATGTAGCATGAAATTATTGGTTAGTTTCGAAATGGTTGTGAAATCATGTGAAGAAAATAATTATTGCATCCGGTCAAGATAAATTCACTCTAGTGTCTTATGGCTTTTTATTCCTATGTGATAGTAATAAAGTCTCATGTAGGGATGGAAGCCATGAAATACATTGTGAAATGTCATCACCTAAGATGGGGCCATCAGTATAGAAAATATCCTAGTTGTGGAGTTATTCACACGATTGGCAAATGATGTAGTATGGAGCTTTTCTAACTTCCATGCTTGGTTCCTTTTTATTCTTTTGTTCTTTGTTTAGTTTCTTCATCCCTCACTCTTAGAATCTGACAATTATGGAAACTAGGTTATGGAAGGTGATTCATCGTCTCAATCACTGATTGACATTTGCGTTCAAGGCTCGAACTTTTCAGTTGGTTCTGAGTTGTTCCTTTCTCATTGTCTGTTAACCAATACTTTGTTCTCCCTGTATCTAACCTAAAATCCTCTCCTGACTTCTTTCTCAATTTGCATGGTGTTTCTCCTGAAATTAAAACTGAATGAAGCAAAGCTGCCCCCTTTGGGCTCGTGGTCCAGATTGCTCTACTTCCAAGCTCAAAGAGTAATAGGTCATGGGTGGGTTAACAAGTAAGTAGTAGGTTCAGCTGGAATTGTTTTCCTTCCATAGTTCTAGTCTAAAAACAAGGCAACAGAAGTTGCACCTTTGAGAGAGAAAAGACGGCCACAAAAACGACTTGGAATGATACCATCACCCAAAAGGTTTCATTACAGTACATACATGGAAGATATTTTCTCTTTTTATCATAGTGATTTAAAAAAAAAAAAAGAACCCTTCTGAGACTCTTTGTGGATTTCTCACCTATATTCCTTCTACAATCTTTCTGTATATTTTTTCCTAAGAGCACAATAATAAAAACTTTTACAAATATTTTTGCTTCTTTGTTGTTTTTTTTTTCAAAAAAAGAATGAGGTCTAAGCCCTGAAAGTGAATGAGCTGATAAAAAATGAAAAAAAATCATCTCCTATAGAAACTGAGGACCAAGGATGAATAGTAAGAAAAAATACATTTTCCATTTATCTATACTATAGCAGGTTGATGTGATCTAAGAGTTTTCAGTAACATGATACAAAGACTAATTAAATAGACACAGTCTAAATTCACCCTTAAGAAGACTTGGATTTCCAAAACTGTGAGCTAGTTGTTCAAAAAAGGACACTTGGCAGATATACAAATGGTTGAACTCAAAAGTAAGAGTGATTGAAACTAGACTTAATCTTTTAAGACACAATACCTACTGCACTGCTAAGAAAGGCTACTGGAATTTCACAGAATCAATCCATAAGCCAATCGGCAAACATTTATTTAGTGCCAATTAAGTTCCAGGCACTGTTAGGTTCTTGGAATATAAAGATCAAAATGAACTAGCCCCTGCCCTCAAGGCACTTACATTTTACTGGAGGGGAGGTAGAGGAGACACACAACATGCTCCAACATAAGTAAGTAAAAGACATTATACAAAGTGAATAGTGGGAATGGGGTGGAAGTAAACCGAGAAATTTGGGGCAAGACCTCAAGGGACCATTCCCTAGAGGATGAGGAAAGCGAGCATTCTAGCCTTGTGCAAAGACTTGTAGATAGGACACAGTACTGTACATGAGGAACAGCAAATA